GAGTTTTCCTCTGCATCTTTCTGAGTCATTGCAAAAACTCGTGCTTTTCCTTTCTGGTTCTGGTCATTGTTATCATCCTTCTTCGAGGTAAATGTGGGGCAATCCTTAAAAATATGCCCTGGCTTGCCACATCTAAAACAGATATTCTTCCCTTGCAAACACACGCCACGATGCGTCTTTCCACATTTAGGACATGGCTCTATAACTGGCACAATGCTCTTATTGGCATTGGCTCCGTCATTAGCTTTCTTGTTCTGCCACTTGCCCTTTCCCTTGTCCTGGCCATTCCATTTCCTTTTACCCATACTGTCATTGTCCGGTTGATTGAACAGTTGACTATATTGCTCGGCGCTAGTCTTCTGGTACCAGATAGCATGAGCTCTTTCCAGCATTTCACGGTATGAGGTGAAACGATGGGACATAAGTATCATGCTTATATCTGGGTTCAACCCTTGTTCAAACCTCCTGACTTTCTTGTCCTCCATATCCACCAAATGTGGAGCATACCTTGAAAGTTGGTCAAACTTCCTTTCATACTCAGTCAGGGACATAGTCCTTTGCTTGAGTTGGAGAAATTCACTTTCTTTATCATCCCTCAAAGACTGTGGGAAGTACTTGTCCATTACTTCCTCTTTAAATCGCTTCCAAGTCAATTTCGCTTGTTGCTCTGGGGTCCTTGTCCTTGACATCGAGTCCCACCAGTGGCTTTCATCACCGGAGAACATAAACTCAGCACACTGGACCTTCTGGGCGTCCGTGCACCCTATTAATCGGAATATTCTCTTCAACTTGCGAAGCCACTCCTCGGCTGCAAGTGGATCAGCTGCTCCATTGAAGGTAGGGGGCTTGTGTCTTCTAAATTGCTCGACCACTGAAGTATGGGTTGGAGGAGCATTAGGAGCTTGTGGTAGGGTTGCGCCTGGTTTGGGTTTTGCCTGCCAAGGTCTTGGACCGCTTGGAGGAGATCTCTTATCAAGTTGGTTTAGTTTGCGCAGGCCATTTTCCTTTAGACAAAACGTATGGTTCTTATTAGTTTCATACTTTGAATCCTAACAAAGAAGATAAAATTTTATTTCTTGACATAAAAGAAATTGTTACAAGAATTTAAATCTAATCCCTATAAGTTCTACGAATCTTCTTTGGTGGAGCCTCATCTCCAGAAGAGTCTTCCGCCTCAGGTCCGGATTCTATGTCCGTCTCAACCAATGGCTCGGGCTCAGGATCATTCCCTTCTTCAGGCTCTTCTTCTTCATCAAGTTCAATTACTATCTCCGATTGAGTTCTAAGTTTTCCCTTCATAGGTCTAAGAGTGATTGGCAATACACTTCAAATTCAAATATATTTGGGTGCTCCTCTAGCATTACATCTCTAACCGTGACTCCCATATCTTCCCATTAAGGTGGAAAAGAGTGTATGAGGTTATTTATAGCCTCAATATGTGTTATCTCCATTTTAGCGTTCACCGCTGTCATGCATATCTCATAGACATCATGTATATGTTCGTCAAGTGGACGGAGTAGATCAGTCACGTAATTCTCATAGGACTGAATGTCGATTCTACGGTTCAATGCTCCTCTATATGCCCTAGCCGTTCTACGAGCTATATCTGTTGTATTTTCACATATCATACACTTTTTTTTTTACTCTTGAAAAAATAGCTACTGTTACATAACATTCTACCTATAAATTCTAACCCAATGCGTATCTTTTGAAAAAAAAAAAACACATCTTTCAAATCATTTCTAACTGGCATAGTATATATTTGAAAATAAGCATAAGTTGTATCATAACATAGTTTTTTCATGAAAACATTAACTTTGAACATACCTGGGCCGTAGGATGAGATTGATGGATGAATGCAAGATGCCATGGAGTATCTTAAACTTTTTCTTTTTTTAAAAAAAAAAATATACTTGGTCTACAGAACCGGCTAAACCGTGCTCTGATACCACGCTGTAATGCCCCGACCCCTTGTGGACCGAAACGTTACTTACTTTACTTAACTAGCCGGTGGTTTAGTCATAGGAGAATATGTTTTAGCGGAAGCTTAATTTTTACAATGATAATTTTAACAACAACCTTTCGAATACTTTAAATAAAACACTGAATAAAAAAATAACGAAACGTAATTTATTTGAAGAAAACACAACTTGTTCTCGCGTTCAGCGTTATTCAAATACTTTAAAAAAATAATATTGAAAACGTTCACAAAAATAAATCTAAATAACTTGTTCATCGGATTTTTCATGGGATCGTTGCACCACTCTTCATCTTTTCCATCACCCAGGCCCAAGGTAGAATCATATCAATCTGTAGAGAAGGGGTTAAACCCGTGAGTTAAAAAACTCAATAGATATCATTGGTGCATTCGTGATCAAGTTATACATTTCAAAGCTGTAACTTTAGAAATCTTTTCATAATAAAATTTTCGGTAGAATCTCAAACACGTAGAGTCATGATTTAACACGACGCCTTGACCGGAAGTACATGCCGTACCCGGAGGTGCCATTAGACATACAAATATTAACATAAATTTTCATTTGCTAGAAACTTATAACTTAACACGAATTAACACTTTGCACCTCTACCTACCTTGATTGATGCTTTGAACCTTGTTGAAAAATGCACTCATTTGATGTTTAAAAAAAACACTCCATTGAGAATTGATACTTGGAAAACACTTCTTGATAGCACCAAAACTTCTAGGAAAAACTAATTTTCCTTCATCTCCTTTCTCTTTTTTCTAGACTTGAAAACTCTCTCTTTTATACTTAGAAACTTTTGTCTTGGTGTGAGAAATGTGTATGCATTTGGGCCTATTTATAGGTGAAAATCTCACAACTTAAGGGTAAGTGAAGGGCCTAATACTCATTAATACGGGTGCCATTTATGTTGGAGTTATAGGTTTAAGAAGGTGCTAGAAAATCGTGTAGGAATTTGACTTTTCATATTCCGCGTACTTCGGTTGATACTGTATAGTCTTTGGTATTTCTATCATAACTTCTTCTCCTGATATCCGATTGAGGTAATTCAAAATGTGTTGAAAAGCTAACTCAAAGAGCTACAACTTTTCTTTAGATATTATTTTCCAAATCGAATGTTTTCTATGTCGTAAATGGGTCTCAAATGAGACTAAAAATCTGAAGTATACTTTAGCCATCCATATTCATGTCTTAGTGCCACTAAGGTGCTTAAAATTATTTGAGATTCTACAGACTCCGTAATATTCTCAGTATCGGATTCCATCAAAATATCAACAGGCTCATCTCTACGTCTTCCATACTTTACTTTGTTGCAAAAATAAAAAGGGTCATTACAGCAGTATTTGACAAGAACCATAAAAATCTGAAGGACAAATCCCAATTCAGCCCTCTATCTGTCTTCTACAATTTCTTTACTTAATATATGACTCAAGTAAATTGATTATAAACCATTCGGCATAATCAAGAAATACACAATGACAATTATGTAAGTTGTCCAAGCTTAAGACAGGAGAATCACATAAGTTCAATTGCTAATCACCATTCAGCAAGAGGTGTCTGTACTCCAGCAGATGGAGTCAATGCAAGCCAAACTGGTTAATAAAATAGAAAATTAGACTTGAAAGTCGACCACAAGTAATCCTCTCATCCAATTCAAATTCCTTCAATTTTCCAATCTACTAATCATGTCTAGCTAAGTAGCAATTAAATCCAAAATCAGCTGGTCCACTTAAATATTAGTAATCGTGTTTTGTCAAGTAAAAGAAGAAGGGATGAAAAGCAGTATTTTTATCACACAGGGAAAACAATCTTTCTTAATTTTGGTAACACTATATCACAGGGGTTGATGAAATCAACCCATTTTTACTTCATAATTAAATTCACTGATTCTAATGAAAGTTTCGTAATGTGAAATGGACAAACAACTATTCCTCATCAAGTTGTGAAGTTCAAGGAGCAGGGATCCGTCGGCAATGGGTGCTCTGTCGACGACGGGAGGGAGGGTTTCGCACTTATGTTTGCCGCTTTTGCTTTCCTGCTTCTGTGGTTGTTTCAGCCAGTTTTTTTTCCTTTTTAAGTGTTTTAACCGTTTTTTTTAACCTTTTTTCTACGTGCAACGTTGCCACCTCAGCAAATTTCAAATCCCTGTTTTTATAACTGTTCCTATACCTGGTTGAGAAGCATTATTCATTTTCTAAACAAATCACACTTTTCGAAAACCCAACTTTATTTTCTAAGTTAAAACTAACTTTATGAAAAGGTACAATATTTTCTAGGTCAAAACTAAGCCAATCAAATGCAATCAAATACATTTAGTGTTTGTTTGTGCCCCATTATTTGTGAGTAATGTAATATGAAATAGTGATTGATGTTGAAATGTGTAGTTAAAAAAGAAGAAAAATTTTTAAAATTATGTTTAATATTATTTTAACGAAGAATGTGTAATTAAAAATGAGTACTTTTAAAAAAAATATGATAGAATATGTAAAAATAGTTGATAAACAAAGCCTTAATTAACAATTTCTGTGCAAATAAGACAATTCAATTACCTAAAATTTATTTTCTTTCCAAACAAGTTTCACACTTACAATTAATCACACCTTAAGAGCTTGTTTGAGAGTGATTTTGAGAATTGATTTTTTAATCGTTAGGAGAAAAATGGGATCCACCTGTGAGAGAAAAAGTCAAATATGACGACTGAAATAGTGAAATAACGATCAAAAAATTAATTTTTTTAGAGAAAAAATCACTCCCAAACGTCTGTAAATATAATAAAAAAAACCCTTGTTTGACTGTCATTCTTTTAAATTTATTTATTTTTTTTTTAAATTTTTGGTAAGACTAAGTTTTGAAAAATGTTTGGTTAAAAAAAAATATTTTATTATGAGAATATGTAATTAAAAATGAGTATTGAGAAAAAATGAATTTTGAAAGAAAGATTATCAAACTGCACAAGATAGGCTACAAACTTGGCACAAGCTATAGATTTTGTGAACACGTCAAATTACCAATTTCCGATTTAATTCGAAAAGGAAAAAAATTTATAGAAAAGAAACCGAAAAGGGATCAATTTTACAGATGAAGAAAAGTTGTGTGGAAGTGCATTTTCTCCAATTATCCAAGATGTTTCAGAAAGAATATACACAACCCTTCAATAGTCGAGGTTTAGTAGTTGACTCGCAATTCCTCGACTCCTATATATCAAATGCCGCTACCTTATCACCAAGTTTTCTGGGATGATCCAACTATTCGAGTGTGTGATAGAGCAGCCCAAACATGCTGCGAACAAAATTCTCGTCCCCTCCAGTAAGGAAAAGGAAACTAACATTCATCGTTCGCCAGATCACCTTTGTGTTTTGATGAAATGCACGGTCAGTAACTTCGAAACACCAAAGCCATGAAAGGAGTCCACCTTGAAGAGTTCTTTTAACTTCTCATCACATAAAACTGTTCTCTTATCAGATGGATCCTGGAAAAGAAATACTCGAAATAAAACCAAGTTTTGATTATAGTTCGTTAAGTCCAGGCAGAAATTGCTCATCAAGATTCAAAAGCTCAATGAGATACATATGTACTAGAGCATTATCGTACGTTTTGAACGTAAGAACAACATAATATCCTATTAACAAGGGAAATAAAATAAGATAAACATGAATTGATTTTGGATATCTGGGTAGAACTATTGGCAATAACAATGAAGTGACCAAGATGAGTGAAAAACCTGAAGTTCGTTTTCTTTTATGTATTGCCACATTTTCTTGACAACATCAGCTCGGGATAACTCGCTTTCACCAGTACCGAAGAAATTCACTAGAGCATCTGATAGTGGAAGTGGTGCAGTTAAACCAGAACCTCCCCCTTTTCGTGGTTTCTCTTTCCTCTTCGGCTGATCCAACTCTGAACAGTCAGATGCATTAAAGTATGTTTTGTCAGAAACAGATTTAAATGTCAAAAACAATTCTATGAAAGAGTTTAATTATTTTTTGGATATTTGTTTGTGTCACCTTCTTCTCTGGCCTCACGTTGTCTTTCCTTCTTTGAAGATTTGGCTGGCATAGCGGCATCATCAAGAAAGTCACAAATATTTTGACACAAGGGAAATATAAATCAGAATTCATGGAATTAAGTTCACAAATTTTGCTGCCGTGCTTTTGGCATTGCTTAATATCAAGATTTCAATTTTTTTACGGCATCAAACCTATTGAGAGGTTACTATCTATTGAAAAGAAATAATTTTCTCCTCAACCACCACAAAGGATCCATGTGAACAAGGACACATCTCTGATCTTCCAATAAAAATAAAAAATTCTTCCTAAATTTTCACCGACAATTAACATAAGCTGCTTCAGAAGTCAGAAATACCTAGGTCATTTCTCTATTAATCACATTTAATTTGCGAACACTTTTAATCCAGCAATATCAAGATAAGCAAGCAAGAGAGACCATAGTGGTGATGGATAAATTGTTTGCCAAAAACACAGTATAACATCTATTATATAATAAAATTTTCCAGTTCCAACCTTGTTAATTTATAGAGGTTTTACAGCATATTGCAGAACCATATAGGAATTGACGGCATACACAATACCTTCTGCTTCATCTAGGGGCCAAATGTGCTTGGACAATGCTTTATTCATTTGAAACATATCAATAGAGCGAACACGAAAAATTCCATGCAAAGCTTCATCACATAAGATTTTTCTCTTGTTCTTTGGGTTCTGTAAGTTCTTCTCCCGAATGTATAGCCAAAGTTTCTTGACAACCTAGGACAGACAATATAAAGTTAGAAAAATATCTCTACTTAATCCTGTTGCATGTGCTAGATTACAGCTACGAGAAAATACAGTACATGATAAATTCATGATATACCTCGGTTCTGGCTAGCTCTGGTACCCCAAGAAGTTCCTGCAGTTGTGGAGAAAGGGCACATGGTTTAGTAAAGCCCCCTCTTTTCTTTACATCTTTATCCATCTTGTTAGACCTACTTGATAAAATTCAAAGAATATGCAAAGAAAATTAGGAGTTTGTTTGGTGGGAATTTTGTTAATTAATTTTTTGACCGTTAGAGATAAAGTGATCCTACCCGTGAGAGAATAATTCAAAAATAGCGGCTGAAATAGTAAAATAACAGTCAAAAAATTAATTTTAATTGACTTAACATCCCTACCAAACAAGCGCTAGAAGAATACCGATAAAACATTTTGAAAACAGCATTTCGGCATTGACAAAATTCACCATTGTAAGTTAATAAAATCAACATTAGCAATTACACAAGAAATACGCTAACTTATCAAGATTGTTCCTTCTTGAATGTACATTTCACAATGTCTCACGGCATCTGAACCTCACACTGAAGTTAGACTGCAGTGTTAACTTCTAAGATTCTTAGCATTTTGATATTAACTTTATAAGGAAAATGTTATAATAATTTTTGCCAGATGCTTCCTAATATTCTTTTATCGTTTTCTCTGTTTGTCTTTCGACCAAAATTTTTAACCATTCAACAGACTGGGCAGTTCATTAAATTGAGCAATATGATCAGGGATGATCCCAGATATAAAAAAGTGATCCTCAAGGTGGATACTAATTGAATGTCAAAGTGACTCTCCTGAATGAAGTTCAATTAATCTATATGTGAGTTGAGTCAACCTTGAGCACCGCACATTCAAGATTTTGGATAGTTTGAACAATTTTAGAGCTCGATCAATCTTGAACATGTTGTAACAAGAATCAACAAGGTATTTCACTCCAGCATGCATAGAGTTGACAATGATACCCTAAAAATAATTCAAATAAACTACACCGATTAAACCTCCTCTCCAGAAAAGGGAAGAACAAAATAAAGGTGGGAAATAAAGATGAATAAAAAACATAAACTCCTGAAATCTGCAAGATGATTTGTTACCCTTTTTTTGTGATTCTATCTGCTAGTTCTTAATCTTCTAATGAACTTCACAGCAAACTAATTATGTACAATCATGCATACGAGTAAGAGTTGTGATGTCAAACAGAATCTCCACATTCTAGCACAATTGGAACAGTGGTCGAAATTAACTGTTAAAAGCAATACAAGCAAAATTAAATTAAGCCTTATCCCATGCAAACCTTTTGGTAAAGTAGTGAAAAAAAAAATTAGAAACCTAATGAAACGAGAAAATATGAAAATTTTCTGTACTATTAATTCTCCCATTTTACCGTTGGCCAAACTGCACTCATTGTGCATGTGATATACCGCTGATATAAATAATTTGAAACGTGCTAAATAATTCAAAAGAAATCAATCATGCAATAAATAAGCAGTTAGACTACTCAAAATTAAAACAATATCAGGGTTCGAAACAAGACAATTATGACATAAATAACACCCTTCGTCCTTGCAAAAAAAGGGGGAAAAAGAGAGTAAGAAATTTGAAGAAAGCTAAAAAAGAACATAAGAAGATTAAGTTTTAATTAATACATATATTTTCTACCAATTTCCAATAGATATGTTGCCAGAAAAACCAAATAAAATTTAAAAAACAACAAAAATTCACCTCTTATTGTTACTGCCGCTGTCTTCACCAGTCTCTTCCTCTTCTTCTTCTTCTTCTTCTTCTTCTTCTTGAGAATTTTCATCTTCTTGGTCCCCTCCATTCTCGTTAGCTGTTTCTTCTCCTTGTTCTTCTTCTGGTTCTTTGTTTTGAGAAACACAAACCAGAATTCATGGAAGTGGTAAAGCAGCAGTACACTTAGGCTAAGCTTAGAACAGTAAAAGTTCTTCTAAATGATGTTTTGTTTCTAAACATGTTTGAATAGTAACCTTCTCCTTATATTTAAGTGAAAAAGTTACTTAGCCCCTGTCCGTGTAAGCTAAAATTCAGATTTTTAGTAGATTTTGATAAAAGTTGACAAAAATATGAAGTAAAAAACGTTATAGATCTCATGAAATGTATATTTAAAATTAATTGTTGATTTTGACATTAGATTTTTATCAAATTTTAAGCCAGACCAACCAAGGGCTTATTCTGAAAGTAACTCTCAATCGTCCAAATTAGAAACTTGTTTGTTTTCAACTCTCACTAATAAAAGTTCATTTACTTTAATATTTACTTATAAATAAACATCTCAAGCTCCGCAAAACATGCTTGGTGTTTTGGCATTGCTTGACGATGCACAATACCTTGTGCTTCATCCATGGGCCAAATGTGCTTGCTTAATGCTTTATTCATTTTGAACATATCTATACTACGAACACGAAAAATTCCTTGCAAACGTTCATCGCATAATATTTTTCTCCTGTCTTTTGGGTTTTGCAAATTCTTCTCCCGGATGTATGCCCAAATTTTCTTAACAACCTAGAAGGACAAATGAGATAATGTTAGAAATTGTATCTCTATTCTATCATATTGACCTAGAAAAGATAACCACTACAAGAAAATACAATCAGTGAGCATGTATGGCAATGCCTAGTTACTTTTTGAAAAAGTAATAAATTCGAAAATAATTATTGGTAGAATAAATAAATTAAAAGTAAGCTTGAATTAATATTAATCACCACAAATGCTCATAATCATGACATACCTCAGTTCTGGCTAGCTCTGAAACCCCAAATAATTCCTGCAGTTGCGGAGAAAGGGTACATGGTTTAGTAAAACCCCATCCTTTTTTCTTTACATCTTTATCCATCTGGTTAGACCTACTCGATAAAATTGATAGTGCACAGAAAATTATATAAAAACATACAAGTAAAACATCACAAAACAGCAACTGAGCCTTGACAGATTCAAACTGCAATAAAACTCATACTTTTGTGAACAAAGTTAAAAAAATTCTAATCTAATCAAATCAACATCAGCAATTGCATAAGAGAAATGCTCTTATCATTCATAGCAGAGCTAGATTGCAGGCAAAACTGCCAATATTCCTAGCATTTCCATATGGATCTTCTTACATTTACATCAAGATATACATAAGGGATTACATAATATCACGTGACACTCTAACATTTGCCAATTTAAAACACAATTAACTTTTTCATCCAATTTTTTTCCTCCACGTCATATTATGTAATCCATCATGTATATTTTTAATGTACGAGCAACAAAATTCATGCACAAAATAAATTATGCATTTAGAGAAAAAGGGAATTCCGTTTTTGTTATCGTTTCTAGTAGTGAAAGACTTATCGTACTGTCATATAGAATTTTTTTTTTTTTTTGTTTTTAATAACCTCCCTCCTTCTTTTAACTTTTATGATTTCACTTGATTTGTAGCGCCCCGAAAATTTTATAGAATATACTTAATTGTTTTACATACATACATACATATTAAACTACACACAATTTCATTTAAGTTTGAAGTTAATTATGACTAATGCGACAGGTGGTCCAACGACAACACGTACCTCATTTGTCTTTAGCAATTGTTGCAATTAAATGTAGTGCATGCAAGTCAATTTTTTTTAATTGCGTTGGTACTAATATTATTTTTCAATTGGCATCTAAATTAAATTATTATGTTGACTTTAGTGAATAAAAGGATTCCTTTTTTTTTTATGAAGAGAATAGCTCTTTGCATGTTATAATTTGAAGTGATTGTCTAGGGTTCCATGAGCATATAGACACAAATTGTATACTTGATGGATCGAGTATAGTAAGACACAATTTGTGATGTGATCAAAATTATGTCGTTCACAATTAGAGATCATATACTTACAATAGTGGAATCCATTAATCATTGAGATGAGACAATCGTCACTCTAAGGTATTTTCTTAGGCAAATTGAACATGAGCTCAGTAGGTTGACGATGAGATTGTTGGACTTTACATTATGATTTGATCATAACGAATTTGCCGTATGAAAATGGGACTTAGAGGGTAATACATGTTGAAGGCAAAACGGTCATTTTGCCAGTTTCAACATATTGACAATCAAATGAGGGTTGACTTGTGAAATGATAATCAAAGGATATTGTCATTAGATCATAATTTGCTTCGATAACTATCACTCGACTCGAGAGTGCAATCTCGATTTTTTGGTAGAATGAGTTGGGATTAATAAATGTATCTCAATTGGTCAAGAGTTGACTCAATTGGAAACATCTATTGGAGTTTGGGTCATGTGAGTCCGGTTAGGTCCCTCTCTTGATTTCAATAAAATGTGTGTGACTTAATTGGTCTACTATAATAAAGTTCAAGAAAATTTGTGCAATTTTCAAATCTTCATAGGACTGACATATGCACTTTATTGGTATATTTTATATGAGAATTATGATTAGCCACTTTTCACTTTTCCAAAAGAATTATGGTTAGCCACTTTTCACTTTTCCAAAAGAATTATGGTTAGCCACTTTTCACTTTTCCAAAAGAATTATGGTTAGCCACTTTTCACTTTTCCAAAAGAATTATGGTTAGCCACTTTTCACTTTTCCAAAAGAATTATGGTTAGCCACTTTTCACTTTTCCAAAAGAATTATGGTTAGCCACTTTTCACTTTTCCAAAAGGAAATACACCCAATAGAGAATAAGGGAGAAGATCTATGGGAGAGAGCAATTAGTTAGATCATTAATAACCCATTTAAAATGTTATCATCTCCCCTTTCTATATGTGAGGATTTTATAATTCAATAATCTCAATGTCACTAAAATCCTTATTTACATGATTTTTATCTTCAATGAAAAATTAATTTCCTATTGTGATGATTAAAACTCATTAACCAACAACCATACTTGACAATGCTGCTACAAAATGCCTTCAAGTTATGTGCATATTTATGAGGGCATTGTGGGACAATTGTTGCTAAACAAGAGACGATTATTTGTTCCCCTGTAACTTTTGAGACCTTAGAGTTTATTATCAACAATTCCAATTGATTTGCAGGGCTTCAAAGCATTGGGCGTGGTATCATAGGTAAAAATCTCTTCTTTGAGTTATTGTGCAGCACCACGGATGCTAATGGGAAAGAACATGGTCTCTAAGGGTGTGCACAATATGTTGGACTTCCTCCATACCAAATTCCCAGAAGGTAGACAGTTTTGGTAATCAACAATGTAGTTTCTTTCATCTAGTTATCTTTATTTCTCCAATTTGTCTTCTGCACTACTAAAGGTAATGCATAAATACAGTTTAAGCTCAAAAATTTATGTACTTTTCTGTCAATAGATTTTTTGTCACATTTGTGCCTACCAGTATGTTACTCACACGAACATAAAAGATTAGGCACCAAGATCACCATATTAAGAAAAATGTTCATAATCATGGATACTTTGACGATCAAATCAATCGTCATACAAATAAGTGCTAAGAATTGCGTACATTTACCTTTACATAAGACAATTTATCAATGTTCTAAAATGTATGCACGTGCTCCGCACATGCCCGCATGTGCTTGGGGCATTTTCAAAATGCCTTCCATATTTGGTATGAGTGTGATAATGCGATCAACCCATTTGGTCAATGCTATATGCATGCTAAACTAACAAAATACGCACGTGGTTAAGTCAAAAATTATGTCAAAATTAACCTAACAAAGCCTAGTCCATTTTTGTAATTTAAAAAAATAAGTTAAGTTCAACAAAAACATCAAATTAGCTCAAATCACCCAAATTCGTGAATTATATACAATAATGGTAGGGTTTTGACGTTTAGAAAAATAAAAAATAAAAATAAATTTTCGTAGAATTGTAAATCATCTACGCCAAACACAAACCTTCCTTTTCAGTCTTCCTCTAGTTTTACTAGCAATCAGTGCTAATCATGCATGTTTTTGGATTGTTGATTGTTGTGACGATGAGGATGAATTTAACAATAATATATTACCATCTATATGATATAATAGAAATTCTCGAGTTGAAATAATAAAGCCGATGAAGATGATTTTGCATGGGATGACACAGACAATGACCCGGATGAAGATGGGGATATTGTATTGGAATTCGATAAAGAGTTAGAAAATATTTTTTATTTTTTATTTAAAGCCAATATTTGTGTCTAATCTAATTATAGGAATTTACCAAATCATTGTGGTATTTATGATATTGAGCAATGTTTTTTAAAAAAAAAATAAAAATAAAGAATATGTGTAAAGTTCAAATAATACATTTATTTTATTTATTTATTAGTTTAGAATACAAAAAATGATATTAAAAATTAAAAAAGCATAATTACGCATATATTTCAGACAAGCATGCATATGTTTGTAATGTTTGATACTCAATCGAAACGTATTATCAAGCATTATGCATTTTAGAATCTTACTATTTTATAAGGGAATAGTCAATGTAGAATCAGGTTGAGATGTCGTAGCCTTAATCCACATGTCATTCACTCATTGTTCGGGGAAATAGGGTCTTATGATTTTGTTTCCTTCTTGAACTGAATTATCTTGTAGACCTCGATTCCTTCATATCTTTCTTGGTCTCCGAAAGTCCTGCATAGAAATTTAGGAGTTGAGAATACAATTTCCTATAGAACAGATCCTCCTAAGATATGGCCGATTGTTCTTCACCTTTTTAAGGAGCTGAGATTTGCTGTTCAAAATTTACTATCCATCAATGATTCATTGATACATTATATTATACATATTTTTAATGGGTGTTTAAATTTATGCATTAAAAATTAATTTTTATGAATCAAATGTAATATAAAAAGATTGCTCATTTATAGTATTTCATTATTATAAAAAATTTGAATCATAGAAATTGAATTTTGATATTACACTTTGAATATAATTTTTTTCTTAAATTTCTATGCTAAATTTCGTTTTCTTTAATTCATCTGAAACTCATCATATCCTTCAACAAATTGGTACCAAATATTTATTTTACATCACTTATAAAGTTTTTTTTTAGAATAACGTACAATGCATGTTCAACTTTGATTAGTTTTATTAAAAGTATGATCAAAATGAGTTGAAGAAAAATAAAGGTTGAACCCCAACCTTGAGACCCCATTGCCTCGCCCCTGGAGCATCGTAAAAGAGGTAAATCGCAAGATGTGTCCCATCAAGACAGGAAACAAGAGTTTGCCCGTACACTGGTACCTACAAAGAGTCCAATTTCATATTTCAGGAATCGAACCTTCACACTGCGGTTGTCAGCAAAGTTGATATTACCTCACTCTCGTCTTTTGCACCATTGGATTATGCCCCGGAGGGCGAGTTTAAGAAAAATAAAATTTTAAAGAACGAGGTTCATGGACTAAATAAAATTATCCTTCATTCAAAAATCACATTTCAAAACTGCAAACTTCTAAAAAAATTTCAAAAATCAAGTGATAATTAAATTTATTAAATATTTAACTATAATATAGTATAATTAATCTACTTATCTCACCCCACCTCCAACCTACCCACCAATCCATCACATCAAACTCTTCTCTTTCTCTCTCCAACCTACCTCACCTTCGCTCGACGACTTCAGCAACTTCTCCAACGATGGCTCCAACGACTTCTCTAGTGACTTTTTCGACCACTGCTCCGACGACTTTCGACGACAGTTCCAACGACTTTTTGGCAACGGCTACACGCGATGACTCTGGTAACAATTCCAGTGACCTATCCAGTTATGGCAACCTCTTTAGCGAATATTTTGACGACAGTTTCGACGACTATTCCGATGACCACTCACCATTCCACCGACTACCTTTTTTCTTTTCTCTTTTTTTGGCAATAACCCGTGACCAGTTCCATTAGATCTGCGACATGTGCATATTATGATTGTGACCAATTCTATTAAATTCGTAATCTAATCAGGTGGGATGAATGTGCATACGATCAATTTCAAAATTAAGAAATAAAGTTTGTAATTTCAAAAATCAAATACTATTATAATTTTAGTTATGAAGTAATTACTCCAGAAAAAAAAATTCTAAATAAATACAATAAATTCACATTTTGTTCTTTTCTTTTTTTGGGCAACAACCTACGATCAGTATGCATTGTAACATATAAAATATGATTTTTTAAATTTATGATTTTTTACTTGTGACTTGTAAAATAATATGTGATCTATAAATTTGATCCGTGACTTATTGATCTGTGACCCGTTTATATTGATTTGTGACTTATATGAAATGACTGTAACTTGTGAACTTAAACCTGTGACCAGTGAATTGTGACCTTAACGGCGAATTGTGACTTGTAACGTATGAATTGTGACCTTATATGTTCATGAGCAAATTTGTTTTCGGTGTAAATGTCCGTGACCATGTTAGTCTGATTTGTGATTATATGTAACCAAGTTACATGCGATCACAGTTAACACAAATCTGGTCATCGGCACTCAAAATAAAGATAGATTTGGTCACTTATCACCATTCTAAATACTGACAACCAAACGTACACCACCATACCAGAACCACATCTACTACTAGCAGTGGAACCATTGGCACCGCACCACACCACACCACACCACACTGCACCACCACTAATATAATAATCGATTACCACATATTTATGTAGAATAAAAAAGAAGTGAAGGAAGAATCGGGAGCTAACTTTGTACGCAAATTTTCGATGGTGGACTGCTATTCGAGGAACCAATCGATCGACAAGCCGAGGTTGTGGCGGAGGGCAGCCTGGGTAGATCTCGCCATAGAATCCTCCAGCTCACCGTTACTACTTCTAGAGCCACCATTCGCATTCTCCTGCTCGCCATTGCTGCCGTGGCTATTATTATCTTTATTATTGTTGCTATGACCTATTGAAGGATTCGCACCTGAAGCCAAAAATAATTTACTCTAAAATTCAGAAATTTTTTGATAAATCTATTCTGTTTAGGGAAATTTTAGTAAAATTAGTGTAATTGATAAATATTTGTTCGAAATTTGGACGAAAAATAGCTGGAAATGATAAATTAACAGAGGAAATTGAGAGATTTATATATTTATTAAAGAAATTGGATAAACATAAGTAGAGAAAAATCTGTAACAATGGAGCTATGGATTCGGTTTCCCAAATTATTGTTTGTTTTTGAGAATGAAATGGAGATGGAATGGACCTCGGGTATGTAGTTTAGGTTTAATTAAATTTTTAATTATTATAATTATTAAATTTGATTAACACCTGATTTGTGAAAATAAATGTTAATCCTCCTTATTTTTGAAAATTTTAAATCTAGATTTCTAGGTAATTTGCATTTTTAAATTTGTGCTACAATTTGTTATTTTGGCCATCAAACGGTTAGTTCGACGACAAAAGTCACAAAACCTTCTGTCAACAACACAGCCCAAATACCGTCTTAATCACATAACTGCGCACAGCGGGCACCGCCGAACCCCTCCATTGTCAGCACCAACTTCTTCCACTTATTGGACTATCATTGGAAGAGCACGTCAATTGGTATCACAATTTCCATATAGACTCAATCCTAGAGTCAAGATTATGAGCAAAATCTTGATTTGGGGTGTTGAAGTTATTGGCTTCATTTCAGTTTCTTGAAAAAGAATCCTAAAATCGAACTTTAGGGCTTGTTCTATGAATTGGGTTTTAATTTTTTGCCTTTGGTGATCAACGGTGGCGCTGGGTCTAATGGCCAATGACCCTTCAGAATCTCAATCTCAATTTCCTTCCGGTGAATTTCTCTCTATTCTTCGAAGAAAATGACTCTTTCTCAGATCTAGAGACTCTTGTATCTGGTTTATATTTTAACCGATTTTTGGGTTCTTGATTTTATTGCAAGATCTGAATGGAGGGAAAACTATGGCCGACGAGTACAACGTCGATACTGCAGAAAAACTCGCAAATGAGGCAATGGTAAAGTGCTTTTTTTGTTTGTGTCGTGAGGGTTTGTTTATTTGTTTGTCACTTTCAAATTTGTTTTTGGCCTGTTGTAACCTAGCTAATTTTGTATGAATATTTTTCTGCTTCAGCGTATGCCGATCACAGAGGCGATGCCAATATACGAACAACTCCTTGCCACATTCCCCACTGCAGTGAGCCCCTTGACTTGACATGCATGCCTTTCTTTGTCACAACTGTTTAAAATTATATTGTGATTGTGGTTTTTCCACTTCCATAGAAGTTTTGAAGGGCACATTCATTGAAATTATGTGAACAGACTTGCTTTGCTGGTTGTAGTCATGTACTTTTGATATATTAGCAAGTCAAGATCAATGATGTGGGAATATATGCTTGTTCGTTGAACAATACTCGTTGGGCTCATGTATCAACATCCCTTACTGCAAACTCGAATTCCTACGAGCACTAGTATTTGTTGCATTTGATGGTGTATAATCTTTTGATATTTTTGCCTCCCTGGGTTTCTTTCTTAATTAAAAGTCAAAAGAACCTTAGACATACCTGTTATTTTCGTTAAAATGTTATTAATCAGAAACGGATTTAGAATAGGCTTAGTGGCTTACACGGGGTGATGATAAATTTTCATACATCTTTAGATAATTCCCATGTTCCCCAGACTTTAAATTCTTGACAAGGATAAGGATATGGGATCCTTTAAAATCAAAGGGATCATTATCTTGTTTTCGTTATTTTGGTATCGTATTAAATTGACTCTAATCTCTATTTCACATTAGTAGACTTGAAGTGAAATTCAAATTAAGTATAAAAATTTTGCAATTTAATTTGTTAGATATTTATAGTTAAATATATAATATATATACTTAAAAAATGCACTATAATATGATATATATACTTAAAAAATGCATCTAAAATGATCAGTATATAAATTTCTAAAGTAATTTTAAGTTTGTGAGACGTATCCACGTACCCATATCTAAATTTTTGATATTTTTTAGATGTATATTCATACCCTAAATTAGGAGGAAAAAAGGAATTCCTAGATATATACCTGTATCAATTACCACACCTGAGTCCAAGCTTAGGACAATGCATAGCTTCTTTCTATGTTTCATTATAACTCAAGCATATTAATCAAAAGTGTTTGGCCTAACTTTTTAAAGGACTTCAGTAAAGCTCCATTATTATTCAATTACCTATTTGGCTGTTTCTCTTAAAAATTATTCTGTCATTAAAAATGTATTGACTTTTCTCTTGGATAATGGCCGTTTGTGTATTTCTACTTCTGAATCTACCATTTTCTTGTGTAGGCAAGATACTGGAAGCAGTATGTTGAAGCATTCATGGCTATAAACAATGATGATGCAACAAGACAAATATTTAGCCGCTGCTTGTTGAATTGTTTACAAGTTCCTCTTTGGTACTCTTTCTTTGTCACCTCATTCTTTTTTAGTTCACTTTCGGCTCTGGGAGGGAGCGGGATTTTGGCAATATTTATTTCGACCGTTCTTTTTGGTTGCAAGTGTCTATTTTGCCTCTTTGTTGCTGTCTCTCGCAGTATCAAGTTAAATTTGTCTGCATGGTTTTGTTTATCATGCATTATATTTTGTTAAAGTTTCTTTCCATTATTTTTTTTTCAATTACAGGCGATGTTACATCCGTTTCATTAGGAAAGTAAATGATAAGAAAGGAATAGAGGGTCAGGAGGAGACTAAGAAAGCTTTTGATTTCATGCTTAACTATGTTGGTAAGTTATATTCTTAATAGTCTTCCTAGAATGGTCACTGTTAAGTCCATTCTTACAACTTACTGTGGTAAAAGAGATCTGAGATGTATCCGATTGAAATATAATCCGGCGGTTTTCTCTTTGTTGTGGTTATGATGATATTGGTAGTGCTGTAGATGAACTGGGATTCAAACAGACCTCATTTGTATATGTTTGTTCATTTGTTTATGAGGAATTTTGATCCGTACTCATGTTTGTTGAGACTAAAATTTTTGTTCATTAACTGTCGATGAACAAATGAGCTAGCTGATAATTTTGTTTCTTTTGTTCAGTTCTTAGATAATATACATACTTATATATAATACTTATATATTATAATATATAATATATTGTTTTAGTGGTGTTTATGGGGGCCACCTCCGTGTTGTCAATGTAACGAAATATTTACCGTTTAAAAAAAGTTTGTTTCGAGATATAATTTGTCCATTGACTGTAATTAAGGAAGACTTCTGTCCTGGACGTCTTGGAATTATCCTGTTTGGTGAATTTACGGCATCATGACTGTGTAGTTTTTCACCTTTACTTTGAAATCCAATAAAACTGCTTTAATTATAATTATTTTTACTTGGTGCTAACAGGTGAGGACATTGCATCTGGTCCTGTGTGGATTGAGTATATTACATTTTTGAAAACTATGCCGGTTTGTTTCTACTCTATATGCATAAACAACCATGTTAACTGCTCCTCTGTTTAATTTATTATTTCTGTTTAATGCTCTTATAAGAGATGCTGCTGCAGGCCCAAACCACACTAGAAGAGTCACAAAGAATGACGGCCATTCGGAAGGCATACCAAAGGGCCATCGTTACTCCCACCCATCACGTTGAACAACTTTGGAAGGACTATGAAAATTTTGAGAATTCGGTTAGCCGTGCTCTGGTAAGACTGCATATGGTCTCAATAGAACTGGTTGGTTTGACATTTTACGCTGGACTGTATTTTTTGAACTTGTGTCAAGATTCATGTCAATAAGTTTGAAACACTTGTTATGTAGGTCTTCAAAACACAACTTTTGTATTGACTTCTATTTTTTTGAAACGGCTTCAACCTGCATGAATTAGTTGGTAATTTGCTTTTGCTTTCGAGTAACTCGTCTTGTACAATGTCTTAAGAAGTGATTAGTCGTAGCTTGATCTTAAGTCTGATCCCTTCTATCTGCATTTGGAAGTTATTGGAGATAAATTATGCCAGCTAACTTCGCCACTTCTGACTTTCTGTTATGTTACTTTGTATACAGGGAAGTTCATGGGATGAATATCTAGTTTGATTTCACATGACTGGATATTATTTCTGCAGTGATTAGTTTTTCGGAAGTGCTACATATACATAATTGTCTACATAATGGTGTCCATAATTACACGTGTAACTGAATTCAACATTTAATTCAAATCTCACACTTGTATATCAACAATCGAATGATTGTCACATTACATTATGGATACCATTATGTCCAATAATTATGTACAAGTAGAATTTTCATTAGTTTTTTTGCTTAATCATGTGTAGGACTTCTTTAGCGTTCTAATATTCTTTTTCATACTTTCCCTCAATGAGTTTCCTTAACTTCTATCAGATTTTTCTGAACATCCCTAAGTCTCCCATGTGGATTCCTTTACAGCGAAAGAGAAATAAAAAAAAAAAAAGAAAAAGAAAAAAATTTAAGACAGAGAAAAGAAAGATGCAGTAAAATAGTTTGATAAATGACCATGATCAGAGCTTGGAAGTCACATGAGATTTTCCATCATTGTTCATTGAAGACATTGCATGCTAACATTTACCTTAATTAGTAATGATTTGCTAGATACGTTTCTTTGTGGAACTTGCGATCTGATTGCGAATATCTTGCAGGCGAAAGGACTGTTGTCTGAATATCAACAAAAATATAATAGTGCGAGGGCTGTTTATAGGGAGCGTAAGAAGTATGTCGATGAAATTGATTGGAATATGCTTGCTGTTCCCCCCTCTGGTTCTTCTAAGGTACTACCTTTCACCAAATTCCACTACTTCTCGATACTTATTCAAGTCTCTTTGTATAGTTAAAAATGTCATCTTGGTATGAATTGTTTAAAAAGGCGATTGTGAGGTGTTGACAATTAGCCTCGGGGGCACGGATATTTTAGAGTATTAATGAGGTAGGGCGACGCTTCCTTCGAAATGAACTCTTCCTTAACTACTGATTTGTGAACTTCTATTCATTTTCAATACGAGATGATGTCCCTTTACTAATTGACGCTGAAGCCTCTTACCATGAGAGCTATGCGCCTCTCATTGTTTATGGTGTTTTGGATTGGTGGTCAACTATTTATTGAAAACCTACTTATTTTCTTGGATGGATCAGCCTTGGAAAGTCCAACTTGTGCTGGTTATTAAATAATCAACCATAAATGATAATAAATTATAGATTAAAGCCAATCCAAACCTAACACAACACACGTAAAGCTTTCACACCAATTGTAGAACTGTTCACCAGCGACACACTTAGCGGCTTTAGTTATTTATTTATTATTATTATTATTATTATTATTTTTATTTTGTTTTCTTCTTTTTATTATTATTAGTGGTAAGCACGCGTATTGCACGTCTTATGTATTGGATGAATAAACTGAAATGTAATGTTTTGACTTCAATAACACTTTGTATACAATTTATTTATTTATTTTTGTTAACATCCCACAAACTTTCTTCTTTTTATTTTCTGCTTTTACTAAGACTTATGTTGTTTGCATTGAAACTCCGCGAGAAAGTGTGACATATACAGTTGTCCATAAGAAAATACATGTCCCGGAAGATATATTGCAATAATAGGCATTTTTTGTCCTTAAGCCTTGTTAATGGTCATTGTAAAGCATAGATGTATTAAAAATTATTTCCTCTTGAATTTGAATAGATATCCTTCATCATTTGTTGGAGTCAATAGGTTACGCGGAAGGAAAACTTGTTTTCCTACGATTATTTTTGTATAGATAACGTCTCTTAAAATCATGACATATCATTCTTGTTCCATTGTAAAGATCGTTGGATGGATCCAAATTCCTTAAAAGTATCACAGGGCAATTTCTTTTAAAGAATAACTTATGTAATGGGATACCATTTGGCAACAATGTATTTAGAAACTCCTCTTGATAAAATTGGTTTGTATCATCTATTACCTCGTCAAAACTGACACATTCTTCACTTTCTCCAAGAATATAATCCAATTAGTTTGTCATTGAGGTAGTAAACATACTCATTTTTTGTTGAAAGAATTCCACCCCGTGTCATATAATCAGAAGAAGTTGCATTATCTGTTAAACCTGGGAACATTGTAAAAAATATGGAATAGAATAAACTTGGATAAAATGACACGTGTGTCGTGAGAATTATCCACCATAAAAAACATAAAATATTGATGTTCGAGCATTGTTGGGTAACGTTATAGTCTATTTGTTGAAGCAAAAAATAAAAATAAAAATTTACGGTTAGCTTATAGTTTGTAGAAATTGTGCAAAAATAAAGCCAGAAAAAAAAATCTCGTGCGTTTATTTAATCTTCTAGATATGCTTTGAATATAGTATGGAAGCTAAAAATACTTATCAACTTATTGTGCTTTGAAAATGATCAATTTTCTAAATGAAAGGAAAATAAAAGTAATGATTGTAAATTCAATAGTAGGTTATAAAATTATTTAAATCTTAATAATAATTGAAGGATGAATTAGAAATTATACAAAATCAATGAGGGTATTATATCATTTCATAAGTTTCTCCTCAATTTTTCCTTTTTAAATATTGTAGATTATTATTATTATTATTTTGGTTTTTTCTTCTCCTGGCTGATCGACTATTTTGTCTCATCTTCTCATTTCTTCTTCCTTTTTTATGTTTAGAAGAAAAAACATAATAAATCCATGATACATGCATGCACTAACCAGATGATACATTAGTTGATTCTAAAATTAAATTTAATCATTATTAGAGAAAATAAAAGAGTCTTGAGATGGAATTTAAATATGTTATCTATTTCGATTTTTAAAATTATTATTATTATTATTTTATTTTATTATTATTATTATTTTTTGGCTCATGGTGAGGCTTATGCCTCAAATTGCCTCTCCTCGCAAATGGAAAATGCACGAGTACCCAATTTAGCCTTTTTAAACACTTCTGGTATGGGTGCTGGGCGAGTGACATTTATTTGTGGTACATCGAAAAGTTCAATCCTTATTCCTTTTATGTACGCATAGATGAGAATCTGCAGCTTTGCACGAGTAGATAAAAGAACTTAATGGATTACTTTGATCGATAGTTTTGATGATTGGCAAGGTCATTATTTATTTGCAGTCTTCTAGTGGGAGAGTATACCTTTTGATTTAGTCTCTTAATTTACTGAAAACTATTAGAATGTAAATTATTATTATGCATTTTATAGGAAGAAATGCAATGGATGGCTTGGAAAAAGTTGTTATCATTTGAGAGGTAAGTTGATGATCTTTACGTTGATCTGGCATCTTTCTGTTGAGCAGAAGTGTAATTCCATTAAGCTCTGTCTGTAATACTGAATAGTAACACAAACAATTTAATCAATCAACAAGCAAACTTATGTGCATATAGCCAAATAAAGGTGTAAGAATGTTATGCTAATATGCTATTTGGAGGTTTCTCGATCCAAGAATATGTGTATTGTTTCCACTCTGTTCAACTGGAGCTGTTATAAGGGTGCTGGGATATTAGTTTTATTGGGATCTGTTTCCTAAATACAGGAGATATCCTCTTGGAAATTGATAAATTTAGTATATAGACATGTTGTGGTCACCTCATGGATTTTGGTTTTACTACAATACTTTGCCTGGTCTAGGCATACAAATTTTGTGCTTGTGTGTGTGTCTTACTTTTGGATGAACAACTCTTTTTTCTTTAATTGGAGGAAACCACTAATCCGAAATCGCCTTTTTGATCTAGAATATGTTTTAAAGTTGTTGGAGCGAAATACCGTTATGTCCTTTAATTGTAATACAAAGAATTGAGACTCATGCTTGCATTGAGATAGCTAGGGTCGTTCGAGAACCAATATGACACAATTATTTCAATTTCACTCTGGTCTGTCCTTGTACTCTCTTTCACATCCTTATGGAGTAGTTGATCCAAGTGCTGTGATTTTGGCACTACTTTGCCTGGCATCCATATCTTGGTTTATTGCTGTAATTTGCCTTTTGATATTTTCGTGCTCTTTGCGATAACTTTGTTTTAAGTGGCCAGAACATCTGGCCATATAAAGTTCCCCTCAGAGACTACATGACCTGTGTCCACATTTTTTTACAGAGGAAACCCTCAGAGAATTGACAATGTTTCTGCAAATAAGCGAATTGCATTTGCTTATGAGCAGGTAATGAAGGTTCAACTATTAATCATTTTCTTGCTTGTTACTTCTTACTTTATTGTGTGCCCTGTTTCTTATTACCTTGTGGCTTGTTACCTTATCGCGTGGCTTGTTACTTGTAACCTTATCATGTGGCTTGTTACTTTGTATCATGAAATTTCATGTAATCAATGAGACCCTGTGTTGCCAACCTTGACCACATCAATTTCAGAGAATTGATATTTCCTATTTTGACTAAAGGCAGATAATTGTGAGGTATGCTCATAAATTGCTGTGTAGAGACTCAATGGTTAATTGGTCAATGAATGTGTAGTTAAGGTTTTGATATAAACTGGAGATTGTATTTTCCTTGGAAATTGGAACTCATTTTCGGACAACAAAATATAATGATTTAACAATTTACAAATTTCAGACTGCATCTATATGTTTTTATTATAAAAGAGTTTCCAGCTGTATTCCAGAATGCATGATCTAGAGCTTTTGTCACTTTTGGTGCTTTCTGTGTCAACTTAACTTCCATAGAATTGTATATCCTGCTAGTTGGATTGAACTGTCCGATATGCAGCCGGTGCATACCAAAAAGCAAGTGTACCCGATTTCTATTTATTTGTAATTTTTATGCACTCATGCATTTGTATGCATGCTTAAGATGATTGCAGAATCTTCCAACCTTCATCTCTATGTTGCATTTCCGTTAATACACATCTGAACTACTAAGGCCTGGATACTTCTATCTTTTAGCAACTTTATTGTTGATTCACAGCCTTGTGAATGGAACTACATTATATTGTATCTGTTCTAGATCATTTGTTTTGACTGCTTCTTTTTTCAGTTGGTACTCTGTTCTTTTACGAGTTTGATGCTCTCCCCCCATCCCAACCAAAAAAAAAAAAATGTCAAGAGAAAAGAAAACTGCTCACACGTTTGTTTCCATGCTAGTGCCTCATGTATTTATATCATTACCCTGATATATGGTATGACTATGCTACGTGGCACGCAAAAAGTGGTTCCATAGACCCTGCAATCAAAGTTTTCCAGCGAGCATTGAAGGCTCTTCCTGGTACTTATCTCTCACTGAAGTAATTTATATTTCTAAGGTTTTGGTATGTGATGTAAACTTAGTTCTGTTGTCAGTGTCTTTAACTTGATATCAGTATAAGGAATTTTTTTTGTCCTACTGTTAGCCCCTGACAAATTTGGTGTTACTTCTTTCGCTTTGTCCTTTCATGCTAGCATTTTTTCCAATTTGTTTTGATAACAATTTGTTTTATGCTTGATGTTCAGATTCAGAAATGCTAAAATACGCTTATGCAGAGCTTGAAGAATCACGAGGAACTATTCAGGTATGATCCATGCATTTCCACTTGTTCCTCTGGCGAGGCAGGGCTAATATAACCTACATGCACTTTCTTCCATCATAATTTTGGTTGTATTGTATTCACATTTCCTTGTCTTCCCAGGCTGCAAAGAAAGTATATGAAAGTCTTATAGGGGATGGAGTTGATGCAACAGCACTGTCACATATCCAGGTATTTGAAACACTAAGGATCAACAGAGAAAAAATAGAAAAATGTTGTACTCGGCATCCTATCTTGAAACTTCGAATAATAGAATAATTATTTTATGTCCTAAGTTGGTATGATTACTCTCTTTTCAGTTCATACGGTTTCTAAGAAGAACTGAGGGAGTTGAAGCAGCTCGCAAATGCTTTCTAGATGCCCGCAAGTCTCCAAATTGCACTTACCATGTTTATGTTGCATATGCAATGATGGCCTTTTGTCTTGATAAGGATGCAAAGGTGATTAATAGTTCTATACATGGTTTTAGATTTTATGCTGAACACTAACTGAACGTGGAGGGCTCTAGTCATGCCTCTTTAAGACCTCTTCCTGTGGCAGTGACCGGGTAAAAAAACCTTATTTTTTCTTTTTTGTGAAAAAATGGGTATTTTTCCCTTCTAGTCCTTTTCCCGTGCACTTTTGTGCTTGCATTATCTGCTTTATTCTGTTGCGTTAAGAGCCAGATTATATATGATTTGTACAACAAGACATCCTGTACTTGGTTTTTGACTGATGTAAACTTCATGTATATCTTGTTGCAAACATTTTCAGCTTGCGCATAATATTTTTGAAGCTGGGTTGAAACGCTTTATGCATGAGCCTGGTTACATTCTAGAGTAAGTTTTCCTAGTACTTGACTCAGGACTGGTTTATATCTAACAGTGCTTGGTATTCTTGATGTCTGAGTTCTATATGATGTAGATGAGGCATGACTGTTTTGTTGTGTTGTACTGTACATGTATGTTCTGCTTGTATAATTGAAATACCCACTAATATCTGTAACAATAGTATTAAAAGATGCAGTCACACACTGCAACAATTATGTATTTGTGGTTTCTAATGTATTGATACTTGTGCACTTATAGGGAGATTTTCCACACAAGTAGAATGATCACAAATCTCAGTTACTTATGTCTATTATCATGATATTGCAGATATGCAGATTTCTTGTCCCGTTTGAATGATGATAGAAACATCCGGGCTTTGTTTGAACGAGCATTGAGCTCACTTCCACCCAATGAATCCGTTGAGGTACATCATTCTGTATTAAATTTGCTATTTTGACTAGTTGAAGTTATAGGTTTGTACAGGTAAAGTTCTTACTTTGAACATATTGTGTGTTCTTTGGTGATGTATTTGGTTCCATATTTTTTTGAGTGCCATCTTGAAAAACTTGTAAAAACAGAATGTTTATGACTCCAATAACCTGCTGACATTGAGTGCTTCCAGTATAGAAATGATTTAAATTGTCTAGCAAAAAATTCTGTTGGATCTAGTTGCAACTCAATGACCAAGTAAATATGACAACCATTATTTCTCTCCAACTCAGAGAGACTTGAAATTGCCTGAAAATTTTTGCTTTTCCATTCGTTCCATCATTTCCTTTTCCACTCCTTATATTATATTTCACCTCCTAATTATTTACTTATTAGCAGATTTTTCTAGTAGGTACTGCTTCTTTTACCAATGTATGAATAAATTCCATATATGTTTGTAGGTTTGGAAAAGATTTTCTCAATTTGAGCAGACGTATGGAGATCTTGCCAGCATGTTGAAGGTATCCTACATTCTTGGATAACACTATAAGCAATTCCACTATCTCATGGTTTTCATTCTTTTTAGATATAATTTGTGGACTGTCATAAAATGTGAATTACAAGTTGCTGTATTGCCTAAGTGCACAATATGATATGTTTTTAAGTTGAATGTGGTTTGTAACCTCAACCATATTCATTCTTATCTATTTAGTTTGCACAAGTCATATGTTGTAAACTTGTAATATATTAAAAGCATGATTGGCTAAGCTTAAAAACTTATATAAGTTTCAAATAAATTATTATTTTATTGGTCAAAGTTGGAAATAAATTTGTGTATTTTTGGGAAAGTTTTTAAGTACTTATAAGATGTCAACCATCAGTTTTGACCCCATATTCCTTTGGACCCATTGCTATAAGCACTAAATGCTTAGCCAAGAAAGCACCAAGTAAGATAAGAGTTAAGTAACTTTTTATTTTTACTTAAAAGTAGGAAGAAATAAGTTAAAACAAAATTTTATTAAAAAGTAACTTTATTATTATTATTTTATTTATTTATTATTATTATTTTTTTAAGGTTTCTCCAATCATTATCCAAGCCTCATTATAAAATCAATGGGATCCCTCACCTTCAGCTACACTGTTGGAGTAGGTTGAACAAAGGAGGAAAGAAGCTTTATCTCGAACGGGGGAGGATGGAGCATCTGCTTTGGAGAATTCACTGCATGATGTTGTATCACGCTATAGTTTTATGGATCTGTGGCCTTGCTCGTCTATGGACTTGGATCATTTGGCCCGACAAGAGGTATTTTCCTCTGTGGATATTTAATTTTTTTCCCGGTGCTTCTGATCTTGTTCTTCCAACCCCAGACTAAAGGGAACTAGCATAAATACATTTTTATCTGTAATACTTTCCTTCCTGCAATTTTCAATTACTAATAAGATGTATACCCCCCTTCACTTTTAGTGGCTCTCAAGAAACATCAATAAGAAGATTGAAAATCCTGCACCTGCTAATGGAGCTGGTTCTGCTGGTAAATTTATTACTTGATGTTGGTCTTTGTGTCAGTCACTCCGGCATTGCACCTAATCCTTCTCTCTTGAATACAGATAGGAGCATTTCAGTAGTTCCAAATATTTCGAATCTCTTTGGAAAAGTTGTTTTTCCAGATACATCCAGGATGGTAATTTATGATCCAAGGCAAAAGCCTGGTATGAGTTACTTGTCTTCTTATTCTATTTGGTGTTATTTCATTGGTTATAATATCATGTATTGATAGGTTCACTTTGAGAATAATAGTTAGAGCCTATTGTCACAATTTAATGTGAATAAAATTGAATTTATCAGAAAAAAATATGATTTAGCAACTGAAACATATGAATTCTTTGTAATTTTATCATTCCTCGTTCTAATCCACTGAAGGCTGTATTATAAGTTTATTTGACATGTATTTGTAAATTTTCAATGCATTTTTTTTTTTTTTTTTTTTTTTTTTTTTTTTTTTTTTTTTTTTTTTGGTAAGGTTAAATTTTCAATGCATATTGTGAAGTGTCTTCGTTAGTTAACTGTTAATTCTGAATTTCATAGGTCCTCCTGCCTCTGGACCAACCAGTGTTTCAAGTACCTTTCCTTATGGTGTTACATCAAGTTTTGGTGGAACAACGAATGCACTCAATGATATGGTGAAAGCCTTACCACCAGCATTGGCAGCCTTTGTGGCGAATTTGCCAGCTGTTGAGGGTACTCATCTAAACTCTTTTATCCACCCTTACCAAGAATCAATAACCGTTGAACATTTTAATTGCATTGACAAGAACAGGTTGTGATTCTTGTATCGTATGGAAGAGAAACAAGCTTTACCAAACATATCCTGAAGGATATCAATCTTATACAAGGAAAAGTACTTTTTTGGTTGAAAGAAAATACTAAATGGTGCTTCTATGGGGATGATTATCTCCCAACGCATGCATTTTTTTTTATCCTTTCCAATTTTTAGTACTGGCCCGAAGGATGAACTAGATATGGACAGTTCCAATAAGGTTTCATTCTTGAGCAAAAATCCACTTTTTAATTTATTTCATCTATTCCATGACCAGAACGGTACATGGCTGGGGAGGGGAGAGGAAAGGTTCCTTTTTTTCAGTATATTCCAGAGAACAGATCCAGTGGAGATGGGGTGGGGCTTGTAAGGGTAAATTCATTTTCATATCTTTGTTGATGGCTAATCAGTGATTGTTGATGCTGAAAATGCTAGGTCCTTGCCCTGATGTTGATTTTGTATTATCCATATGTTTGCAAACCAACATACCTTCGGCAACTGGGAAATCACCTCAGCAGTTACAGGTCGGGCCTGTCCCAAGTTCCAGCGACCTTTCTGGTTCAAGCAAATTTAAACAAACAAGAGACAGACAGCCGGGAAAGAGGAAATCTTTAGAGAGTATGATTTTTCGTTACTTCAATTTGATGTTATTATGCTTTATGTTTCTAGATTCGCTGAATTACTTTTCATTAAGTCTGGACAGTCTTGATTCATTGTAATTAAATGGAAAGATAATATCTATTACCATGGTGATCAAATTTACTAGTAACTTGTAATGTAGGCTTGTTGGCATCCATATATTTCCACGTGGCTGTGTGCATTTAAAGAGCTTTTCATGTTAAATTTGGCATAAAGATTCTCTTGCAACACAAATGCAGAATTTGTTTAATGATTACAAATCCATCATATGTATAGTTGGCGATTTTACCAACATTTGTTTCGTCTCATAGTCTCCTTTTCTTTTATCATCAATTTGTAATTCGTTTGGTTTCCATTCTTTGCTACTTTTGTCGGCCCAATTTGTCTCAACTATGAGGTAATAAGTTACTGCTATATGATTTTTAGGGCAAGATGACGATGACACTACCACTGTCCAGAGCCAGCCATTACCTAGAGATGCTTTTAAGTTACGCCAGTTACAAAAGGCTCGTGGTAGTAGTTCACGTGCAGGTGGTGGTGGTTCTGCTGCTTCTGCATCATATGGGAGTGGGTTCTCTGGCGATTTCTCTGGAAGTTCTGGTTGATGTATTTCATCTACTTTTTGTTAATTTAATTTTGTACAGAAACTGTGGTTGTGAGTTATCTTCTTTTATACAAGTATAATTTTATGTTATTTAAGAGTGAGTGTAATAGAAGGATTTGTGATGACTGTTGTACACGACGAACCATTTTTGTATCAATTAATAAATGAGATTCTTTTGTTATTTTTCCACCAATTCAAATTATGTAATGCAAAATAATGGGCAATTTCAATATTTGGTACGCTAGATTGGACTTGAGCTAACTTGTCACTTGGGGTTGACATACTCCATGGACCAGTCCATGCGGGTCTATTTTTAGGAAAAAAATTAATTTAGAAAAAATGAGAACCGTTAATATGCCATTTATAATGTTTTTCGGCTAAGGTTTAGATTGATCTATTCTTGATAACAAACGGGTACTTTTTAACTTTTGTTGCTTTCAATCTTCAATAATGCTTATTGGGTTTTTTACTTTTGTCCTTTGGGAGTTGAATAGGCCAGATTCTAATTGCTTCATATGATAAGAAATGAACAAATACCACCACAATTATAATTGTATATATACATTGGTTAACTTACATGAGTGGAAAGGTGGGAAGAAGAAGTGGAGAATAGAAGAAAAAGCTACTTAAATAAGTAGAAAAAGAGTTGCAGAAATGGTGATTCAGAGGCTGGAAATCTTCATACAAGTATTGAAGTTTGCAATCCAGTTTATCATTGTCTTTGTCGATGCATTCGGCACTGTTATATATCAAACTACAAATATATTAAATCGCACTGTTCCTTCTGTTGTGTATATTGGTGTTCTCCCTTGATTTCTTGTTCCATTTCTCCATCAAGAGAGTTTTTATTTATTTATTTATTTTTCTCTCAACTTTTTTGAGTTGAAATTTGGTTATTATGAGTGCAAACCTGCAGCAGATTTATTATATCATCAAACTTTTCTTCGTTTTAATTTTTATTTATTGTTAACATTTAGTTTGAATATACATATGTCATATGACATATCAGTTCGAGATAGTCAATTGTATCTCTTGACGTGAAGCTAATCTTGTGCATATAAATATTTGTTTAGAATAGTCAGAAGTTAGAAATGTGAAAAATAGCAACTACAGATAACGTGCAATCTAGAAATTTGAAAATAGTCATTACAAAAATGATATTATACTAATCTTTGAAGACAAGGAGACTCATAAATCAAGAAAATTGTGAATTTTACTAATCTGATGCATGAAAATGATTCCAAACTCATTGTGAATAATTCTTGTAGAAAAATTTGGAAAGTTACTTAAAATGAAGAATTCTTTTTAGCAACCTCCAGCAACTGAACAAGAACCTCCTTGTGGTAATTAATTAAACTTGAATTAAATAAAGAGTTTCGAAAAGTTTCTCAAAATTATTCTCTCTTGGTAGTTGATTTTGATATCTTTAATCAACAAGTTTGAGTTTTGTGAAATTTTGTTCTTTCCTATAAGCTTCCGCCATTTCGCTATTGTTGTTGCCAGAGTCCAATTCTGCAACAAATTAAAGGACCCTATGACTATGAGCAAATTCATCTCGTTTTTTATATTATGTACGGAAATTAAATTGTATGTCTTTCCTTACCTCGATCGGATGGTAATAAAGTTTTTCCGAAATGTACTTGGATCCCTAGTGTAAGGTTCACTATTGTAATATGAATATCCAAAATTTTAAAAACCAAAACGTACTTTTGCAGGATAAAATGAAACTTAATAGAGCAATACGAGGCTTACCTCTTGGGAAAAGGTGGAAAAATTGGTGTATGGAACAAGCATTGAGGGTGCAACATAAACCGCAGCAGATATCTTCTCCAGGAACCTCTCCATGACATGAGAAATGGCCAATCCTTCATAGTTATGGCCAACGAGGATCATTTTCTCTTATCAGGGTAAAGAAGCCGTAAATTCAGTCAAAGGCCTGAAATGATCAGATACAAACGAAACATCAAGCACTTGCTTCGGATTGATTCCCGAGGCGGCCAAATCAAGAGCTGTGACATTTTGGGCTGATGATCTGAGTAATGGCCCTAATTTGTACCAGCACCAGGCTCCACGGCCTGCTGCATGAACCAGCACAAAATGGGAGTCTAATCTTGCAAGATTCACATGTAAGGATTCTTAATCAATGGACTTGTATGTGTGAATAATTATGTTTTAAATTATAGGCTATCGAATTCGGTTGAGTCCAATTAAAGTGATCTAATAAGGCTTCGATTTTGGGCTTTAATGTATTCAATTAAGGGAAAATTTCATAAGTAAGAGATTAATTATGATACATTTCAAAAACAAGTAAACAAGTTTCAAATTTCAAAAATCAGATTTTTATTAAAAATTATTTATCATTTAGTTAATTAATTAATTATTTTAGTAATTAAATATATTTAAGTCATA